AGAAAAATGTAATATAACATATGATGTGAAATTCTCAGTGCAATGATATAGTATTAAGATGTAAATAAATAAATAACTCTTAACTTACAGCAAATATTTTTATTATACCATAAAATTAATGACTTTTATAGGTTTCAGTGAAAAACAAAATCTTTGAAAGATTTTTGGCTCTATCTCATAACTAAAATAGGTTGAAAATACGCACACACACACACACAGACACAGTTGACCAGCAAAATATCAATAATACCGAAGCCGGGTACTTTGGCTAGTAGCTAATAAAAGGAAAACAAACAAGTATAATAATATATATATATATATACGTAAACTAGCTAGCTATAGTAATATAAAAGTGTAATGCTACAAAAAGTATTAGAACAAGAAAGTCAAAACTACAAAAAAGCTAAGTCACTTAAAATTTAATTTTTTTTATCCCTACTTTGGCTCAGACTAACAAAATTACAGTGATTTGCCAAAACAGGGATAATTTTAAGTAACTCAGTTTTGTAGTTTTGACTTTCTTCTTTCAATATCTTTTATAGCATTAAAACTTTCTACATTACTATAGCTAGCTGGTTTGCATATATGTATGTATATATATATGTATATTCCTACTTGTCTGTATAAAATTCGATTTTTTTATCATACTTGTTCTTTTAATGGATCCATAAAAACACTCAACAATTTCAAGTCTTCGTTCAGTTTGTTTGTAATTAAGCACAAAGCTACACAATGGGCTATCTATGCTCACCACGGGTATCGAAACCCGGCTTCTTATAAAAGTCCGCAGACATACCGCTGTGCCACTGGGGGTTTCAAGTTTTCAGTGTGTATTTGTGGTATAATGATGTCCAATTCCACATAAAGTTAAAAATATCCATAATAAACGGTAAATTCAAAATATGTTAATATAGATAATTATTTCGAACATGGGCAACAAAAGGAAAGAAGCCAAAACAAGTAAACAAATAAAAAACTTTATTCTTACATGGGTCAGCGTTTTCGACTGAGAATCTGAGGATTCACAATTCACGTCCCGTTGGTGTATTTGGTTAGAGTGGCACAATATTTGGCGAGTGGCGCTGTTGACTAGCTACCTGCCCTTTAGCCTATCAATGCAAAATTAACTTGGCATGGACCTACGGTTATGGCGCTCAACTTGCAATTTGCGAGCCGCAAGTTCGAATTCCATCAACAAACATGCTCACCTTTGCAGTCGCGAGGGCGTTATAAGGTGATTGTGAATCCCACTCTTCGATTAGAATAGACCAATAAGTGACGATTGGTGATGTTGGCTAGCCTTCCTACTAGTCTATCAGTTCTAAATTAGGGACGACTAAAGCAGATAGCCATCGAGTACATTAGGGATAACTAGCACATTGAGTCCTTGTGAAGCTTTGCGCGAACTTCAGAAACAAATCAACTATTGCGATATTCCACAATTCTAGATTACCTATGTCAAAAAGTTTTTCCATTATACGTTTCCAAGGGAGGTAAATACCCAACTCACACTAACATATACAAGTTTCTCTGCCATCCTTTGAAAATAGCACATACTCATTCCAAACAATTCAAAATTATGGATTGTTAGCTCACAAACTCCCTGTGTAGTTTTGCGTGAATTTCAGAAACAAACCAACTATTGCGATATCCCAACTCAAGTACCCAAGGACTAATTCTAATTTTCAAATGATAGACTAGAGGATAGGTAAGTAGTCAACAGCACCCACCGCCAACACTTGGGCTTCTCTTGTCTGACGAAATAACGGGATTTGACCGTTACCTTTACTACGCACTCTTGACTCTAAAGTGCAGTCGCGTTCCTTAATTTTTGTGATTATAATATGCGAACGCTGGATCCAGATGTCCACGTTCAGCCTTGAGGATGATGGATGCTCTAAAAAAAGGAAAGTTGCTCAATCTTATGATTAATTAAATAGGCTTTTCTATAAGAATTTGAACATCTTATTTTTTTGCTGTGATATTGAGCGTATTTTAAATGAAAAACACGACCTGTGTGATATGCTAATATCGCAAACCATATATTATTGTAGTTTTTAGATTGAAATTATTTTCCAAAGTTTTGTAACTTTCCTGTTACTCTAGTGCACGTTTTTTACGGTTATTGCATTCTATTTAACTGATGAATTCATATAATATTTCATTTTGTGTGTTGTTTATTATTATAGTATTTTCATTATTTGCTGTAAATTGTATTTATTGAGTTTGCTCTGAATTGTTTATGTGTTTCAGCGATTTGTTTTAGTTCATTATAGTGGCGTATTAATATTTATGTAACCCAAGATTATTTGGACACATAGTAAAAAGTGGAGAAGGATGTGAAGAAGTGAAGAAGAGCATTGTAAATACCAGTGGAGGGACGAGAAAGTACAGGAAGATAGAGGATACAGTGGAGAGACGTGGTGGACAAGTATATGAGGGATGTTGATTTATTTAGAAATGATGCATAGGACTGTAATATATGTAAAAAGCCGATCCGCAATGTTGACTTTATACCCGAATGAGATTAAGGTCGTAAGACGAAGAAAAAGAATTAGTGTATTAATCTAGAATCATGATTCAGTGGACCACGTTCAGATTTAAATTTCTTAGTAAGTTTAATTGTGATCCAGCTTGAAGACGATCTTAGAGAAAGAGGAGAGTTGTGATATTCATAAATTTTTATAAATAAATATAAATATTTGTATAAATCTTTACATAGTTTTATATTAGAATTACTTTTCTAAATTTCGCAACATTAGGTATTCTTATAATGTTAACATATAAGTTCATATTGGTCTTTCAAAAACATGATTTTTTCCTGTTTTGTTTGATGCCACAATTGAGACTACGTCACTTTTACATTAGTTTTGATGTTTTTAGTAAGTTGCCACATGAAGATCAGAAGATCTAAAAAATTACTCTCTATGTGTCCATTCTCTTTTTGACTTGTTTGTGTCCAGAGAGTTAACAATAAAGTTTGCTTTATGTAACCTGAAACTTATCAACTGTTGCCATCTACCAGTTCCCACAGAGGTTGAGTATTTTATACAAAAACGTTTGAACCTCAGCATATCGTTAAAGTCCACGACGCAATGTCCTTTCATACTGTATTTGACGACCGTTCGTCCTGATAATAGCCCTGCAGCATAGATTTCTTTGTTTGTAGTTAAGCACAAAACTACACAATAGGCTATCTGTGCTCTGCCCACCACGAGTATTGAAACACGGTTTCTAGCGTTGTAAGTCCGCAGACATTCCGCTGTGTTGCTGGGGGGGGGGGCAGGTTCCTTTGAAAATGGCTTTGTCGAAAGGCTGCCACATTCAAAGTACACCACTTCTCCATGCATGTTTTCCCTAATTCATCTATTGTACGAGGACGACGGTTTTCAAGCGCCTGTTTTAATAGTTCACTTGCACAGAAATCTATGTAGGTGCTGATCTGGCTTTTTGATCAGTACAACTTCGTATGGAATAAATATCCGTTTCATTTTCCAGCTGTAAGAGGTATACAACAATTGATTTGAAGCCTTATCCTGGGGAGCTCGACTCGCAATCTGCGGGTCGCGGGTTCGAATCCTCGTCCCAACAAACATGCTCGCCCTTTCAGCCGTGGGGACGTTATAATGTGATGATCAATCCCACTATTCGTTGGTAAAAGAGTAACCCAAGAGTT